CACTCCCTCACACACTCTCACTCACACACACACACTCTCTCGCTCTCTCACACACACACACACACACACACTCACAGACAAACTCTCACACTCACACACACACACACACACACACACTCACTCACTCTGTACAGTAGTGAAGACGTTCAGACGCAGCTCTGTCTCAGCATGTGCAGAAAACCTGCAGATCTCCAGACATTTGTTATCCAGCAGCCTCAGCAGAAGGAGCGCCAAACAGTGACAGACACACACACACACACACACACGCGGGTGCTCAGGGTTCGCGGTGATCTGGCCGCTCAGATGAGTTCTGCGCCACAGCAGGACAGGAGTTTCTCAGCGCCGTGAACACGACATGAGCTTCACGTGAGTGTGTGTGTAGTTTGCTCTGAACTCTCTTGTGTTGTATGTATGTGTATGTATTAATATATAATACAAGATATATAATAAGATATTATGGATGTTTTTTGTGTCATGCTGTGGCTCTAAAGCGTGTTAGACTGTGTGAAGCACCTGTTGCAGTTAATGCTTTTAGTGATGATGATGATGTGTGTGTGTGTGTGTGTGTGTGTGTGTGTGTGTGAAGCATCATTCTGAAGTTCTGCTGGAGTCCCATAACACCTGTCCGTCTGTCTGTCTGTCCGGTGGAGAGACAGCTCTCTGTTTTCTATGAGTATGCAGGAATACTGTTGTCCTGCGGGCAGATGCTGCTCTCTTTGTAGAGTGACAGAGCTGTGTGTGAGTGTGTGTGTCTGTGTGTGTGTGTGTCTGTGAGCGAGTGTGTGTGTCTGTGTGTGTGTCTGTGAGCGAGTGTGTGTGTCTGTGAGCGAGTGTGTGCGTGTGTGTGTGTGTCTGTGAGCGAGTGTGTGCGTGTGTGTGTGTGAGCGAGCGAGCGAGTGTGTGTGTGTCTGTGAGTGTGAGTGAGTGTGTGTGTGTGTCTGTGAGTGTGAGTGAGTGTGTGTGTGTGTGTGTGAGTGTGAGTGTGTGTGTGTGTGTGTGTGTGTGTGTGTGTGTTGTGTGTGTGTGTGTGTGTGTGTGTGAGTGAGTGTGTGTGTTTGGGTGTATGTGTGTGTCTGTGAGTGAGCATGAGCGTGTGTGTGCGTGTGTGTGTGTGTGAGCGAGCGAGCGAGTGTGTGTGTGTCTGTGAGTGTGGGTGAGTGTGTGTGTGTGTCTGTGAGTGTGTGTGAGTGTGTGTGTGTGTGTGTGAGTGTGTGTGTTTGGGTGTGTGTGTGTGTCTGTGAGTGAGCATGAGCGTGTGTGTGCGTGTGTCTTTGAGTGTGTGCATGTGTGTGAGTGTGAGCGTGTGCGATTGTGTGTTGTGTGTGTGCGTGTGTGTGCCTGCGTGTGAGTGAGTGATTTTTTTTGTGTGTGAGTGCGAATGCATGTGTGTGTGTGTGTGTGTCTGTGAGTATGAGCGTCTGTGTCTGTGTCTGTGTGTGTGAGCGTGTGCGTGTGAGCGTGTGTGTGTGTGTGTGTGTGTGTGTGTGTCTGTGAGTGTGAGTGCGTGTGTGTCTGTGAGTGTGAGGATGTGTGTGTGTGTGTGTGAGTGAGTGTGAGTGTGTGTGTCTGTGAGTGTGAGTGTGTGTGTGTCTGTGAGCAAGTGTTTGTGTGTGTATCAGGGCGTCTCTCCTGTGTTCACCAATTTCATCACACTGTAAAGTGTCTCACTGTAACTTCCTCATAGTAACTGATGTTACTCAAGAGCATCTGAGGAACACAACACTGAACAAACACACACACACCTGATCTGTGCTGTTAGAGGCTTCAGTTAGTTCTACTAGTTAAGCAGCTCTGTGCATGAGCGTGTGTGTGTGTGTGTGTGTGTCGTCGTCACACTCACAGTCGTGATCACATGTATGATGGCAGCAGATTGTGTGTGTGCTGTCCGTCACTATGATCAGGTTGTGTTGTAAACGAGTGTGTTTGACCCCCATGTTTGCAGTGCATTATGGGTGTGTTGACAGATGTTCACAATGTGTGTGTGTGTGTGTGAGTGAGTGTGAGTGTGTGTGTCTGTGAGTGTGAGTGCGTGTGTGTCTGTGAGTGTGAGCATGTGTGTGTGTGTGTGTGAGTGAGTGTGAGTGTGTGTGTCTGTGAGTGTGAGTGTGTGTGTGTCTGTGAGCAAGTGTTTGTGTGTGTATCAGGGCGTCTCTCCTGTGTTCACCAATTTCATCACACTGTAAAGTGTCTCACTGTAACTTCCTCATAGTAACTGATGTTACTCAAGAGCATCTGAGGAACACAACACTGAACAAACACACACACACCTGATCTGTGCTGTTAGAGGCTTCAGTTAGTTCTACTAGTTAAGCAGCTCTGTGCATGAGCGTGTGTGTGTGTGTGTGTGTGTGTCGTCGTCACACTCACAGTCGTGATCACATGTATGATGGCAGCAGATTGTGTGTGTGCTGTCCGTCACTATGATCAGGTTGTGTTGTAAACGAGTGTGTTTGACCCCCATGTTTGCAGTGCATTATGGGTGTGTTGACAGATGTTCACACCTGAGGAGAGCGTGTGAGGTCAGAGGTCAGAGCCTTCATCCGTCTGTCTGTCTGTAGCACACATCTGTATCCTGTCTGTCTCACAGCACCTGTCTGTCTCTCCGTCTCACACCCGTCCAGAAAAACATCATTGTTTCAGTTCAGCTTATCTCTGCTCTCCCAAATATCCTGTTTCTTCGAGCTGCGCGTCCAGAACCAATAGAAAGCTCTTCCTCCTGCGGGCTGACTTCACTTCCAGCTTTAGCACAATCTCATCCGCTCCAAACCGTGCTCGGCAGAACCGTGACTCACACGCGCCACCGTAAACACACAGACACACAGAGCGGCGTGAGGACGGCCCGTCCTGCTCCAGCATGGCCAGCACCATCAAGGTAAGAGCGGCTCCTCACACACTCGTTGCTGGAGATCCAGACGAGCGCTGACGGGCGACACACAGGTCATTTACGCTTCTCACCGCGAGCGCTGGTGAATTCTGCTCATCTGAGAGTTTGTGTGGAGATTCTTCAGTCAGTCTGTGGCTGGTTGCATGAACTGCTTTGACTAGTCGTTCGAGTTAGTCACCTCTTATTTCTTTAAAAAACTGTTACAGGGTTTCTGTGGGTTCTAAAAAGTCTTAATTCACCCTTCCACAGGAATGCAGGAAATGGTGGCAGAGCACTTCCTGTCTGTGGCTGCATGTGTGAATGACTCAAACGCTCATGTAAACCCATACAAGTCTTCTTTTATTCTTCAGAACGTCTATTTTTCTGCTGTTTATCACTGGGTTTCTTTGGCGGAGGTGTTGCAGGCTGTCAATCACTGCAGGGCTTCCCTCTGATTGGCTGAGAGCTTGTGGTGGGCGGGGCATGGTGTGTGTGATTGACGTGTTTGATAAGTTTCTGTCTGCTGGACACACACGTGAGCTCTGAGAGAGTTATTAATGAGGATCTGCTTGATGACGCTGATGAGTTTGTGGAGAGTAAGGCTGAGGAGTTGGAGTGTGTTTGTCTCTCAGGTGAAGGCTGCTTTGACCCGTTCGCTCACTATGGGCTTCACAGCTCCGTTATCAGCGGCCTGCAGAGTCATCTGGTTTCCGACATCATTTCCTTTTCCTCCTGCTGATCCCAGAGCTGTGCTGAGGAGCGGCCGCGTGCTTCTCTGTCCTCCGAGTCTCGTGATAGTCTCCCTGTTTCTGTTTGAATTCAGCTGAAGTGACAATCATGAACAAAGTTAGGGTGGACTCTTTTATGGAAGAGAAGACACGAGCGATGGGTTCTTTGACCTCTGCGGTGCTGGGAGGGATGAATCAGAAGATGTGTTTGAGAAACAGTAACCCTACTGTTACTGTTTCATATCTGATCGGATAGTTTAGAGTGTTTTATCCAGTCAAAGCTCTTTTAGTTTAATTGTAGAAGCATCCAGCTTCAGCTGGAGCTTCTCGTGTCAGATCTTGACTGATTTTGATCAAGTAAAGGTCAGAATAACTGCAGTAATATCTCCAGATGAACTCTTACTGCACTGAAGCAGCTCAGCTTTACTTGATTCTCCATCAATCATGTTTTAGAGTCTCAAATCTGATCCTCAGGATCTTTTGAGGAGCGTTTGTTTCCAGAAGCTTTACTTTCACTGTTCCTCAGCGGAGGAATGATCTTCACAAGCCTCCAGAACATCTCACATCTTCTGAGGAGCCTTTATTTCTTCAGCTCTCAGTCACTGCATTATATGTTTGGAGCATTTCACTCTCATCTCACTGAGACAGATTACTGAAGATATAGAGCCACGACTGATATTTAGATCACTTTATGTCAGTATCTGCTGCACTGTTATAAAGATCTCACTGATTTACATCACAAGCAGCAGAATTTCAGTCAGATGCTGCATGTCTATCAGTGTCTTGTGATTGTTAGTTTGAGTTTAGTTTGGTTTAGTGATGGTTAGTTTGGTGCGGTTGTAGGCCAGTAGTTATGAAACGTTAGGGCTAGATCTCACAGCAGTGGCGTAGCAAGTCAGCCCCCCCCCCTCCCTTTCTGAGGTAAATAACACTGTGACTATTCTCAAGCTGTTTTATTGACGGTATAAATTATATTTAACGTTTTCAAGTCATTATTCATTATTGGTAGCGTGCCAGCCACCCAGTAATCGCAATAAGACTGTTTTGTTACTTTGTAATATAACACAAATCGTAGCCTTTAAATTCGGTCAATTTTATCACGAAATACAAACAATAAATGTGTCTTTCCGCTCTTTAATGTGGCGTGAGATCACTGTATTCGCCTTAGTTCATGCGGCATGTGAATCAATCATCTTTTCCTCTTTTCTAGCATGAAATAAACATGAATGAATATCAGAAGACATGTTGAAAAAATCTGAACAACTTAATAAAACGAACGTCTCGTGTAATCGATCAATCAGTATCAGTAAAACAGCTTGTGAATAGTAATAACAGTCAACAACTTTGCCAACATTGTTTTATTATTTTCATAAATCAGTCTTTACTCTGAAAATATTATGGCACTAAAACGCCATCATATTTACTAAATTGCTTAATGTAAACACACTCTTGGCACAGCGGCCCAAAACGGAAAAAAAAAACGTAAAGAAAGAAGAAAAAATGTAATTAAAATTAATTCTCTGGGCCTTTTTTTTGGCAAATTCATCCACAGTGTCCTTGGTGTTTAATTTAAGGCTTCGTGTATTCTCAATGGAAAGAATGGCTACTTTCAATAGTCTTGCGATAAAAGACAATTAAAATGAAAGAAGGAGAATTAAAACTGTGCAGGTGTCGCTGAAGCTATTTGTGATGCAGTCTTTTCAACTAGCTAGCTATTATTATTTTATTTGGTCGTGGCGATGCAGCGTTTGCATGTAGTTTTAAAAAATGACGCAATTCTACGGCAGCAATATAACAAATGTTTTCTAAATGCATGTTATAGATCCTAATGTGATGGATCCATTCATGCACATCTTTCTTTTTTAATGTTTAATGGAAACGTCAATGCAGTGAAGCTTCAGTCTCCTCTCTGGTGACGTCTGCTGGTCTTGTCCAATCATTTAGTGGTTTGCTTAAACCCCGCCCCTTTCCTATAATCAACTACAAGCTCCCATTCAGATCCGCCTTTATTTTTGACCACGCCCACAGCTCATCATCCAATCAACAACTGACAGATATGAGCTCCCTCCCTACATTTTTGTTCTTTTTAACAGTAATTCTACAAACTCTTCACAGTCGCAGCTCAGAAACACAAACTCTCTCTGTGTGTGTGTCCTGTAGGAGGCGCTGTCGGTGGTGAGTGAGGATCAGTCTTTATTCGAGTGTTCGTACGGAGCGCCTCATTCTAAGACGGACATGACGGCCTCCGCCGCCGGCGAGTACGGCCCAAGCAAACTCAGCCCCAGAATGCATCAGCAGGACTGGCTGGCTCCGCCCACCGGACGCGTCACCGTCAAGCTGGAGTGCGGCGCGGGATCCAGGTGAGACGCACCTCCACACCAGGCTCGTGTGTTAGACAGTGATCGTCCTCTGAACCGTCACAACATGTGGCTTCTATCAGATTGATTCGGTGGAAAGATGATGATCCAGTGATCTTCTGCCCAGACTGTTAAACCCAATGAAAGAGTCATTGATCATCATAATGTGTTCCTCACCAGATGGAAACCACCTTCAGTGTTGAGACATCGGTGTCGTTTTAGTGTCATTGGGATACTATTATAGTATTTAGTAATATTGTGAAATTTTATTTTAGTTAAACCTTTAGTAGTTTTTGTCACTTTTTATTAGGTTTATTAAAGAGCTCATATGATGCTGCTAAAAAGAACATTATGTTGTGTATTTGGTGTAATGAAATGTGTTTATGCGGTTTAAGGTTCAAAAAACACATTATTTTCCTCTGTGAGTCAGAACAGCCGGCATTGTAGTCTACTCTCCCAGGATCAGGACACAGTCCTCCATAAAATGTGCTGCACACATCTGAATATTTGGGTTGAAGTGTTCTGGAACAGTGTTGTAAATACAACTTAACCACTGATTTCTAGTCGTGTCCTCTTTTGGAAGACCAAACAAAGTAGTTTCGCTTTCACAACGAAACACAGCGTCACACACCGCGGCCTAGAGTGAGCGGAGGTGGCGGATTCGAACCATTTTGAAGCTTCGAATCAATTGAACCAATTGGTTCGCAAAATGATTCACTGATTCGAAGCGCTCGAAACACCACACGCTGGTCAAAACTGTGTAAATGCAACAAAAACTCAGACCAAAACATGCATAAAAACAGCTTTTACAAACACAATGAAAATGCTTTCTTGAAAGTATAATCTATTAAATGCAATCAAAATCATAAAATACCATTAAAAATGAAGTGTCTGTATAATAGGCCTATGCGTAAAAAAAATGTTTTGTTTGTTTTATGGAGAGCTTGTCTAAACAGGCCAGTAACAGACTATTAACTACTACTCATCCTTTTAATTACACAAATGTCTCATTAAAAATGTCTACAAATTGATCAAACTGATCCGAGATTGTATAACCGTAGACGCTGATGCAGTGGTTCGGCGCTGCGGGGCGATCTCAGTAGACTCGCATGGTTCACGGGTTCACAGAGATCGCCCCCCTGTGGCGAACTATTGAAATTTCGAAACGTTTCGAAACAGTTATGATGTAACGAAGCCTCGTTTACTGAAATCATGTGACTTCGGCATTTTGATACGCGCTCGGAGCCACTGTTTCGAGAAAAAAAAAATTTGATTCGCAAAAGTTTCGAAGCTTCATGAAGCAGTGTTTCGAAAGCGGCCATCACTAATGTGTAGCGTTTATTAATTTTATTTCAGTTTTAGTTTTAGTCGTTTTAATACATCAAGTTCATCTAAATGAAAATGAGAAATGTTGCCATGGCAACTATCTGCAAATTTTTTTTTAATAGTGTTAGTCTTTTATATTTGTTTAATTTAAAGTTCACTCTTAAAAATAAAGGTGCTTCACGATGCCATAGAAGAACCTTTCTGTCTAAATGGTTCCATAAAGAATCTTTAACATCTGAAGAACCTTTCTGTTTCACAAAAGCTTCTTTGTGGCGAAAGAAGGTTCTTCAGATTATAAAAAGGTAAGAAAGAGATGGTTCTTTAAAGAACCGTTGGCTGAATGCTTCTTTGCGGAACCAAAAATGGTTCTTCTATGGCATCGCTTGAAGAACCTTTTGAAGCATCTTTATTTTTAAGAGTGTAGCAAAAATATTTTTAATGTTTTAGTAAGTGATAATAACCCTGGCTGGATGTAAAACAATCAGAGCAACAGACTGTTGTAGAGAGTTTTTCAGCTCCGTCCAGCAGCAGATCTGGCGTTGTCGCTCCTGCATCAGCAGCGCTGGCCGTGTTTTATGGATGCGTGTGAGTTCAGAAACTTTCCGTCTCCACGTGCCCAACAGTTGGTCGACACATGAGCGAACGCGTCTGAAGCCTCTGGGCTGTTGATGTGGAGTTTGATGGCACATTCCAGCAGAATCCCTCACATCTGTGTCCTCGCGATGAGTGAAGAAGCGCTCACTGGCATCTGCTGATGCTCCTCGGACGTTCTCTTTCTGTTTTTGTTTTAGTTAATTCAGTTAATTCAGGCTGAACAGTGTCACGGGGCTAAGTAAGATGTGTTTGAAGAAGTCTCTTCTGCTCAGAAAGGCTGCATTTATTTGATCAAAAATACAGTAAAATAGTGAAATATTATTATAATGTAAAACAGCTGTTTTCTATGTGAATCTCTGTTAAACTGTAATGTATTTCTGTGATGCGCAGCTGTATTTTCAGCATCATTCCTCCAGTCTTCAGTGTCACATGATCTTCAGAAATCAGTATAATATGCTGATCTGCTGCTCCAGAAACATTTCTGATTATTATCAGTGTTGAACACAGTTGTGCTGCACAATATTTTTGTG